CTCTCTCTCTCTCTCTCTGGTTACTGTTTTCTCTTTCCATGTTTATGTTCTCTCTTTGAAGCTCTTTTAATTTCTATTCCATTTTCAGATGGACTGTGATGACCATATTACACATATTTGATGTTTTATTCATTTTCCTTTTTTGCTGGAGCAGGGTGGCCATATTACGCATTTTTGATTGGTGCATCTGGCCAATTAGGTTGGCAGATATTGACAGTTGACCTATCCAGTCGTGCTGATTGCAATAGAAAGTAAGTGTAGAATATGATGCACCGAAAACTTGTTAAATTGGTTTTGCAGAACTTCAACTGAGGAACAAATGGAGATATTGATTGTTTGCTCTGGTATTTTAAATTTTGGGAAAATAATCTGTTTCCTTTTTTGATATTATCATTAGATTTGTCTCCAATAAGTGGTTTGGTGCACTTGTCTTCACTGGGATTCTATTGGGACGCCTCTTCCCTTAATGGTATAGAATTTTTTTCCCCCAGATTGATTGTTAAAAACATAAAGATGCTTTGTGTTTGGCTTTCAAATACTTTTTAGGACAGCGCCAAGAACCATTTCTCGGTAGACTGAAGTTCCATGATTTGCTGGATTATGATATGTTAATTTTGCAAACGAAATGGGACTTTTTCAAATAGATGGCTGGAGATTGAGTGTACTTAAAACATTTTTTATTCTCAGTTATATCACTGAAATTGAATGGATATTTTTCTTCATATATCTTATGATCAATTATCGTTATTCACCTTATTCCTTTCTATCTAAGAGATCTGCTTCTATTAAAATAATGCACCAACTATATAAGAAATCTTCTCTTGACAGTACTGAGCCTGTTGCAAGGACGTTAATCAAGATAAACAGAAGGATTGGTTGATTGAATTTTTCTCTTGGGTTAAAAAGAGGATGTCAACTTGAATTATTCGAGGTCTACATTTATTTCTAGTCCAAATTATGTCGTCATTATTGTGAATTCTTCACATGATTTTGAGTCTTTGACATGTTTGAATATTAGAAGTTAGAACTTAATGAAGGTGTATTGTGGGTTTCCGGAGTTTTGCTAAACAATGAGAAAAGAAAGTGATTTGCATGAATCAAACTTGTGGTTAGGTTCCTAAAAACCACAGGCGTAATATGTAAGAAATATCCAGAGGCTGTTATGGCATTGACTCTTGATTGGTAGTTTGAAAATTAAAAATCAGATGATGGAGAAACAGAAGATGAAAAGAAGGGCCATGTGACCATATTAATTAACAGCTATTCTAGTCTGATAAGAAGAATATAGCTGTTCACATTAAACGCACTAACTTACCAAAGGTTCTGTTTTGAGAATTGAGGCAAATGTTGAAGAAACATTTT